TAGCAATCTTTTCCTTTTCTTTAAAATTCACTTTTTAGACTTTTGAAGAACAGAAATTTTAGAATGTTAGTCCTTCAATTTGATAGTTGTAGAGAAAAATCCCTTCTCCATATTCATTAGTGTGAATAAATACTATTATACTTTAAATAAAAGCAAGTTTATGAAATTTTAAATTTAAATTCAAATCTTTTTGTGTTTATTTAGAATAAAATATTTTAAGATATGCAGATTTGGGAGATTATAAGACAGCCTTAAATATCATGTAACCTGGTTGTGTATATTTATATCCCCTTCTATTAAATTTCCCCCAAAAGTTCTATGCTGTGTTCATAGAATTTAGTAAAGGAGGATATTGTATACAATGTATGAAAATCTATTTGAAGTTAAACATTACAAACATTATACTCGAACTTTATATCTTCGGTTTAATCAGAACAACCTCTACAGGTTTATGTGCCCTCACTACCACACTTTAATTTTGTCTGCTTGACTTTCTGAATTTATTGCAGATCTCACAACTTGATGCATATAATCAAATAAACTTAATGCTGAGGCCATTATCTAGACACAAACTCTCTTCCTTAGTAATTAATTAGAAATTAATCCCAGCCCAGACTTGTCCTACATTAGTCTAGAAGATTTCGGAGAACCAATTTAAAAAACTCTAGGGAAAGTATTACCAGAATACAAGACTACTTGGTGACTGCTGGAGAAATATTATGCTCATATAATTAAAAACCCCAGTGTCTCACTTCCATGTCAAGGTTCACTGTGGTTTACAGAGCTGTATGTTTTTAGTATCTCCTATAAACTGGTTATTGGTATCATAAAGATTTACCTTGAAGATAATATGTTGTGTGTCATACTGCTAAAGCCTGTAACTGCCAGAAAAACTGGTCTGGTAGGGTTTGTCTCAGGTCTATAAAAAGATTGCAGATATAAAATCTATCATGGCTCAGTAACATGAAAAAAGATCATGGCACATGTTGCACTTTATTTCTAGAATAGAAAATTTGGATCTAAAATTATATGATTTGCTTTTGTCTTGAGTGTCATTTTGCACTTTATTATGGATTTTCTTTATCTATGGAATACCATAGTTAATTGTTTTAGTCTCGAATTCAGCATATTTGATGGACCTTAACCCCCACAGCCTCCCTTCCCATACTGCATGTCTGTTTCTACATAGAAATGGGTTTGTAAGTACTTAACCATCTAAAAGCAAACTTCAGCTTCTTCAGTAGAAGTTTTCTAACAGAATTGAGAGTATTCTGTGTTTCTGCTCTTCAAACAGTAGTAACAAGTAATATTGAACAAGAAGGCAGTCGGAGGGAGCAGTGCCCCTGTTCAAAATTTCATTTTGGATATTTTTTTTTTGTGTGTGTGTGTGTGTGGTGCTGGGGATTGAACCCAGATCCTTATGCAGGCAAGGCAAGCACTCTACCAACTGAGTTATATCCCCAACCCTCATTTTGGACATTTTAATGCTCAAGAAATGGAAGAAAATTTAAAATGAAGAAAATTAATGAGAGATTTGTATTTAGAATTATTACTAGATTTTCAAATTTAACAATAACTAAATTTGAATATTTTATTAGTATAGATTTTCAGTGCAATGAATTATACTGTCTTAAAGGATAAATGATTATTTAGTTTCAGATGCCAGAGTCTCTCTATCACAGAGTGTCAGTTTATAACTTCAGTAACAGCAACTCCAAAACTATGCAGAACATGGTTTAACTTTCTTCAACCATAGACTTTATAGATAATCACCATCATGACTATGTATAATTTTATTGTCTCAGAATGGGATATAGGTTAGTAAGAAAGGATCCTATCCACCACTCTCACTCCCAATCCTATCCACAACTCTCACACCATTGTTTTTTGGGGAGGGTGGGGGGCTGGAGGTAGAAGTAAACAGGAGAAAGGTGGCCACACAGAGTAGGATCCAGGGGCTCATATTTATCAGGACTGTTTCCCAGAGTCCTTCAGTACCGAATGGAGGTAAGTTTTCCTAGTGACATCCTCCACTGTCTTAATTTTGTGCTTTCTTGCAGCTCTTAATTAATTAGGTCCTGTGTTACTATCAGAAAAATAAGTGTGAGTAGTCATCACCCTAACAGGGAAAGATAGCCAACTTTCTTTGTTCTTGGGCCAAACGTACCAAACCAAGAAGCAGAGTTAAAGCAATCTAATATCCTGGAAAGACCAGTTGTACACAGGCTGCCCTCTGACTAATGGTATTTTAGTACACATAAGAGTTTTTGTTGGATGATCATAATTAGAGATCTGTTTCCATCCAATTATCCTGAATTGTGAAGGTCAAAGTATAATTAATTCCAGTGGATAATTCAAAATTTAATATTGCTAATTGATGTGAATAAAATAAGAATCTACCTTTTTCTACTGTTGAGAAATCCAGTTCAATATGGCAGACTACTCCTGCAGTTTTTTTCAATGTTTTAAGCTGTATTTGTGCTAAAAATTGTGACTTCTTTCTTTGGGGGAATGTTGCTATGAACTCATGGATTTTTATTTATTTGATGTTTTATAATTAAATATATTTATTCTTTATGATGATTGAATCATCCCAAGTCTGACGAGGGACGATTGACTAGCCTTGACTCTTTAGCATGGTACACTAGTAACCATGGTCACCTTGCTTTCTGTTACAATAAGGTTTCCCATTCACCTCTTGTGCTTTGCCTGCTGCTGAAGTGGAGTTAGGCATTTCTCCTAGTAGTCTGGGTTCATTTTAGTCAGGAATGACTTAGAAACCCAGATCTGAGATATCTGTCTCAGATATATCATTGTTGCTAAGCTTTGTCAATGGATAGAGTTCAGAGGAAGTGTGTGAGCTTTCATTTTGAATTCATGTTGACATTTCTAAGTCAAGTTAATATTAGAGAGTTTTGTTCACCTTCTTTGATTTTATTATTCTTTCTCTCTTTATCTTCAATTTAATATTTAGCATCCCCACTCTCTCACATATTAGAACATCTTTTCTAATAATAATTTTTGGTTTATTTTGTGTGTGTATTTTTTTTTGTTTTATAATTGCGTTCAACAGTAAAATAGTTGAATGAAGTTAAATATGACTGTGCTTCTTTTCTCTTTAGACTATATCCCATAAGCATGTAGTCAATTGACTACATACATGTATTTAAGATATTTTATCTCTGTTGACTATGTTTGGTTTGATATTATCGGGTACATATTTTCAATATTAGATTTTGCTTTTTTAATGTTTTTAATTTATTTTTGAACATGTAGTAGGAGCACTGACATAATTCAAAAGCCAGACTACTAAACACACACACACTCACTCAGCAAAATCTTGCTGCACCTTCCATTGTTTCCCCACCATACATTTTACCCTTTATATTAGTTTCTTTTGCAAAAATTAGCTCTTAGGTGTATACATACATGTGTGTAAAATTGTGTGTGTTTGGTATATGTACTCCTCATCCTTTTATATGTTAAATATACTTTTATGTATTTTTCTTTTTGGACTTAATATATCCTGAAGATTATTCCATATCACAGTATAGATTCTGTTTTAAAACATAATGAGAAGCAAAAGGATATCGGTAATCCTCTATGTGAATGTATTATACTTTATTCATATATAATTAATAATTAATTAATTAATATACTAATTAGTATACTTTTGGGCTTCTGATGCATATATTGGGTTATTTTTAAAGTAACTGTTTTAACTATTTGGTATGTTCTTATTGCATAAAATCCAAACTCTCTGTACACCCTTCTAGAGTCTATAGAAAAGATACTTCTGTCTGCAAATAGTGTTTCCCATGAGATAAAAAGAAAAGAAATGGATGGCAAATGTCTGATCTGACCTCTACTTATAGAGCTAGTAGCCATTCTAAGCCATAAGTTATGGTTGGCTCACAGCGTTCCCTCAGAGTCTTCATCTAGTCAGGAGATTTAATCTTTGGATTACTCAGCAATCTATAGTAGGCTTACGTAAGACTCCAGTAATCATTTGCAAATTGAATAGAAGGATTGAGGTCACCTGGCATACTCTTTAATCCTGCAATTGATCTCTGAGCTCATGGTATTTGCTGTGGGTTGACTTATCTATTTTCCCTATAGGCTGCATTTATCAGTAAAAGTGGTTTTTCGCAAAAAATTGTTTGCTTTCAATTCTTGTACTATTGTTTTTCTATTATATTAATCATTGCAAATATTTTTTTCCAAATATTAACTTGCTTATTTCTTTTCTTGATCTACAAAGGACTTAAGGTGATACATTTAGTGTACTGTAGACATTGACAGTCTTTACACTCTTTCAAGTCTTACTTATTATGAAGATCTCCAAAGCAATATATATTATGTAAAACTCAGGTCCTTCTTGGAATTCTGTCACATCTTTAAGTGTGCACAGGAAAATGGCTGATTTACTAAACTTGATTGAAAGATCATGGATTGTAACACTTAAATTTGTTCACAGTCCCATCAAATAAGACCACAGGCTGGTGAGAAAAAAGTGCAAAACTATGAAGTTTTTAATAACACATCTGTGAACTAAAATGCTGAAATTTTCCTGCAAGTTATGAAGTGTATACGTAATAGATTGTTTTGCAGTCAGCATATGAAGATGTATGTTTCTTTTCACACTATGAAAATGTAATTTCTTAATGGATCTCAATCTTGTGATTGTACATCATATGGAGTTTCACTGATGATGTATTCATATATGAACATGGGAAAGTTATGTCTAACTCATTCTACTGTCTTTCCTATTCCCATCACCATTTCCCTTCCCTTTATTCCCCTTTGTCTAATCCACATCATGTATGACCACAAGAATGGGATCCTAATTAGAATGTTATACTCCATATATATATATAATATTGTCAAAGTACACTCTACTGTCATGTATATCTAAAAGGAACAAATTAAAAATTTTTAAAAAAAGAAAGTTTAATTTCTTGCCACTACTAAAATATTTTCCCTTTATTATTATTTTTTAGTATCTAAAAAACACGGCAAGCTCATTACTTTCTTACGAACATTCATGAAGTCTCGTCCAACAAAACAGAAGCTAAAGCAGCGAGGGATTTTGAAAGAGCGGGTGTTTGGTTGTGATCTTGGGGAGCACCTTCTGAATTCTGGCTTTGAAGGTAAAAATAAAGTCTATAAGCTCATAATATTAGTTCCTGAGTTCTCCATATTGGTTTCTTACAACCAGTTACAGAATATATTAGGCAAGTGGTGTGTGTTTATTTTTGTTCAACAGTGAGTACTGAGCTTTCTCAGGGACTTTTCTCAGTTTTGGGTAAGAGTGGAGAAGTTCAAACATTCACATTGGCATTAGTGGGGCTTGTGATCTGTTTTGGAAGAATGTTATTTGCACAAAAAGGCCACAGCAACATTGTCACTTTGCATTTTTCTCGTGTCTATCCAGATGGCTTTATTAGCCAGTTTTCCTGCTCATTTGGTAATTAAAAAAAAAAAATCTTGATTTTCTTTGTAGAAAAAACAGGCATACTTTTGAGACTATAAAATACTAAAACCATCCTTCCAACTTTGATACCTAAAGATTTATATTCTTTTCTCTATAAATTAAATTCTGAATTAAGACTTTAGTTGAGTGAATGGATGGAGGAGATGAATGAATAGGAGGGGAGAAAAAAAGGGAGTTTTCTTTGGATATTTTAAAATAGCATTCTCCTGCATTATCCTTTTTAGTCAGCATATTAAGGAAATATTTGCCTGTGCTGTTGATGAGTACCAGAAATAGATTATTTGTGAGATTCTTAACCAATATGAGACAGACCACTAGTGGAAACCAGTGGTAAATACCTTTAGTAATATCAATTCCAAATTAAATCCTTATTCACTTCTTAAAGAATTCTAGTGAACTTAGAAGAATTTAATACAAAACTATATCTTGTTTTGTGAGAGAATAGACAAAATATTATCTTAAACAGATCTTATTCACATATTAATGTCAACTTAATATACTTCTTTAAAAAACAAAAAGACAAAAAACCCTGATGATTATTTTTGCAAATGTCAAAATGCACATGAGAAAATCAACCAGTGAGACTATCAGAGAACAATTGTGGGGGGAAAAAATCAGAAAATATGGGAGACATTGAGCTTTACTACAATATTCAAAACTAGAAGGAGGAGTTTTGTGAAGAGAATGAAATATAAGAATGAAAAATAGCTGAGAATGTTTAGAAATAATTACTACTATAGGTAAAAAATCCATTATGATGAAGAATGGCTTTAGAACTGTATTATAAAGAAGGGTTATTTATAATAACATATTAAAATAATAATATATCTGAAAAATTAATTTCTACATTAAGTCACTGAAAAAAAACCTTCCAAATTTTTAAGAGAGTTAACTACTTTAAAAGTATGGAATTGCCAATGTGAATTGATTTTGTTTTGAGGTTAAAAAAGGAAAAAAATTTCTCAGATTTAAACAAAAAAATAAGGGAAGAAGGGGCTTCAAACATATGTATATGTTTTCCAAGTAATGAAAAAACACAAATGTAGAAGAAAGGCACCATGAATTAGGAAAAATAACTGTTTTATGGATATGATGAAATGCTGTTATCATAATGTGTGAAAATATCATTAGACTTTTTATTTTATTTATTTATTTACTTATTTTTTAAAATTTGTTTTACTTAGTTACATATGACAGTAGAGTGATCTTGACATATCATATATTTGAATCAAATGGGATATAATATCTCATTTTTCTGAATATACAGGTTCCAGAATCGCATTGGTCATCCCTAAGTAAAAGAAAAAAAAGCATATAGCTATCATAGGGTGATAGAAAGTAAACAAAAGACAGAAGCATGTCTACTCTCATTTGTAATCACAGAAATGTTCTTAAGCAATTTTGAAACACCATTTTACATTGATAAACATTTTTAAAATAGCAGAGCTTTTTTTTTCTTAATTGTGGTATTTAGGGCCATTAAAGATAGCAGTGACTTTTATCAATGCATAAAAATTATTGGCTTCAAGTAGCTCTAAATTAATAAAAACTTTTTGGGTAGCATTTCATAGCAAGAAACATAATGAATTTTACAATTTCCCTTTCATATAGCAATTCTACTCCTTAGGGATTTATCCTAGTGTAATAATTAAACAGAAAAAAAAGTGTTCATTATATAACATTATAAATGAAAGCAAAAAATGTTGAATACCCAATCTTGGAGGAAATTTTTCTACAATTTGTGAAGTCATTAAAAATTATGAATTTTAATAGTATAGAAAAATGAAAATGTTATGTATAAACAGTAGATTAACAAAACTTCAAACTATAATATTTAGGGATTATATAAAATGTTAAAGTATTAGAGTCAGAGAATATCTTTGTGATTTTTTTTCCCTAATTCTCCTTTTCAATTAAAAGAGGGGGGAAAAAAGCTAGAATAAATTAGAAATGAATTAAATAGTCTTGGAAGATAAAATTTTCTGCTCATGTCCTGTCCAATAGAGAAAGTCTATTATTAGAAAAGAAAAAAATTTTACACTAGTATATAATTGAACTTTGTTAAACGTGAAGAGGCAGGAACTATTAAGACTGAAGTAAGATATATTCTAGTTGGCATATTAAAATAATTTCCTATTTCACCAGGGGTGATGAAAAATAAAGAACAAAAATTCACATGAAATATTCATATAATATTCAAATGAGGTCTAAATTAGCAGGAAAAGAGAAACCTTTGAAGTGTATTAACTAAAATTTTAATTAGGAAAGAAATTGGTTTTTCATATCAGAATTATTTAACTTTGATTTAATAAGTATGTGAGGAATTATCTTAACATTTTGAGATTTCACATATATTGTATATAATCTGTACCTATAGTCACATTTTGTGTATACTTACGTGCGTGCGTGCGTACACACACACACACACACAGACTTTTTTGGGGGTGGATGGGTACCAGGGATTAAACTCAGGGACACTCAACTACTGAGCCACATCCCCAGCTCTATTTTGTATTTTATTTAGAGATAGGGTTTTACTGAGTTGTTTAGCACCTCACTTTTGCTGAGTCTGGCTTTGAACTTGTGATCCTACTTCCTCAGACTTCTGAGCTGCCAGGATTATAGGCATGCGCTACTATGCCTGGCACATAGAAACTATTTTAACATTTAAAAATAACTGGAATTGAATATGTATTATGTATAGTATTTTAAACTCTGGGAAGAATAATATATCATTACATACATTTTATATATATAAATGTATAATCATATAATGTATATAATCATTCTCAAAATTGTTGTTTTAATTTAGACTTTAAAATATAGTCAAGTGCTGCATACAGGCATTTTGACCAGTAATGGACCACATACATAACAGTGGTTTCATAAGATTATAATGCAGCTAAAATTCCTATCACCTAGTAGTGATGTGTAGACTTCCAAAAGTTTAAGGGCTGGGAAGTTAACTCAGTAGTAAGGTACTTTCTTAACATGCACAAAGCCTAGGTTCAATCCTCTGCACCACCAAAACAAAACAAAACTTCTGGTACAACATGTTACTCATGTGGTTTTGGTGATGCTGATATAAACAAACCTACTGTGCTGACAATTGTATAAAAATATAGTACATACAGTTATAATTATATGTACATAATAATAATGATGATAATAAATGACTGTTACTGGTTTATGTATTTATTATACTATACTTTTATTATCACTTTAAAGTGTGCTCCTTCTATTTATTAAAAAAATGTTTACTGTAACACAGTGTGTCTTGTTGTGTGTTATGCCAGCATATTCATCTCACAGTGACTTTGTCTTTTGATTGTATCATTTTCTCTTGTGCTTGATGTAATCTCATGTTGTTTTGTTTATCATGTTTCCTAAGTGTACAGTAGCCACTGCTAATGACAGTAAGAGGCTACATTGATTCATCTGGAAAAAGATTGAGTGATTAAGGACTATGAAGTTGATAACGTCAGTGATACATTGCTTACCAGTTAGGTATATCCCATCCTACCATAACTGCCATCTTGAAGAACAAGAACAAATTGATGGAATCTGCTTCAGTGATGGGAAAGGGACTAAGAAAAATTCAAGAATGGCCTGGATCAAATATGAAGAAACTTCTAGTGCCCTAGATTGAAGACCAGGCACACAGAAGTATATCCCTTTTAGCACCATGACAGTCATGGCCCAAGCAGTTTGTTTGCAATGTTGAAGGAAAAGGTTGGACCCCACTACAATGTTGAACTAACTGGTACCTCTGGGTATTTTGAACAAATCATGTCTTACATAATATGAAAGTGGCACATCTGTGAATGCTGATGTTAAAGCAGCTGAAGAATTTTTGGAGATCCTAGATAAGCTGATTATAGAGGAAAACTACTTGCCAGATCAAGTCTTCAATATAGAAGAAACTTCAATATTTTGGAAACCATGCCTGAAGGACTTTCATCCATGAGAAGGCCAAGTCAGTGCCAGGTTTCAAGGCTTGTTAAGAATGGGACAGCAGTTGTATTTAGGGGTAGTGTTGCAGGCTATGAATTGGAAGCCTTTCAGATCTGTCACAGCAGTATGCCCAGGGCTTTCAAGCATATCAACAAGCACACACTCCAGCATGCTTCAGGAGCAAAAATATGTCATGCGTAGTCCAGATGGCCTCGGGAAGTGCTGTATGGAGAATCACATACCTTTCAAATTGTTACTTATTGTTGGTAGTGCTCCAGCAATTCTCTGTTATTGCTGACCTTCATCCTAATATCAAAGTGATGATTTTTGCTCTAAATGCCACCTCTTTGATCCAACCAGTGGATCAAGGAGTTATAGCAGCTTTCAAGGTCTACTACCTGAGGAAGACTTTGGGCCAGGTTATTGCTGCAACCGAGGAAGACACTGATACTGTTCTGGAAAGATTATAGCTTCTATGACTGTATGACCTTATTTGGGGTTGAGGTGATGTCAGTAAGGAGTGTAAAAATGGCACCTGGAAGAAGACACTCAAAAAGTTAATTCTGACTTCAAAGAATTTGACAAGGATGAGGAGTTGCAAAAATCAACAAGGCTGTGGTTGAGATAGGAAACACCTTTCTTTAGGTATGAATGAGGATGATGTTGAGGAGCTCCTAGAGGTGGTTCCTAAGGAATTGACAA